GCGGGGGCGATGCGGTCGCCCCGGCGGTAAACGCTACGTTGCGCATAGCCCTCCGGGCCCGGTTCGGCAAAAACCTCAATACAGTCCTCGGGCAGATTCATTATCCAGGTCTCCGGTATGCCGGCTTGGGCATAGAGGTTGACTTTGACTCCCCGGTCGTAGGCCAGGGTAGTGTCCGAAACTTCGATTACCAACAAGATGTCTTCGGGGGTGGGCTGGTTGGCGGCGTAGAAGTCCTCTCTAAATCGAAGCAAAGCGATATCAGGTTCGGGTTCGGTGTTTTCGTTCAGTCGAATGGAGCCCTGGCTTCTGACGATAAAATGACCGGCGTTGTTCTGGCCAAAATAGAAATTAAAACGGTCAGCACCGCTGTTGTGCAAAGGTCCAATAGGGGGCATAAGTAGGATTTCTCCGTTCACCAGCTCTACTCGTTCATCGGGCTGAAGTATGCCCACCTCGGCCAGGCGGTAATATTCGTCCACCGTGAACTTGCGGGTGTTCAGCGTGGACGCCGGAGCGGGTTGGGGCGGAGCTTTCGTTGGTGTGGTCATTACACCACCTTGCCGGTAATAAAATTAAGGGCTTCTACAGGATTGACAGGATTGAGGGCGGCTACAGGTATGAAAAGCGTCAATTGCGACAACCTGATGATAAACTGTCCGGTGTACCTGTTCAACTTCACTGCTCTCTCCTCCGCCACTTAACACCTAATTCCCACTTTATAATTATTATCAAAAGGCATCCAATGCCTTCCAAATCCCCCAAAACTGTTGACAGACCCGGGAAGTTTGCTTAAAATCCCGATAATTCATTGGGTATAAAAGAGACCCATGATTAGGTAACAAATATTCTAAGAAGGAGGCATCGGATGTCAAACAAAGAAGACTTGGCGTTAATGGCTCACCTGATGCGGCGTGTCGGTTTCGGCGCCAACCGGGAAGAGTTGGAAGCGCTTGTTGCTCAAGGCTACGACGCGGTTGTCGATGAACTGGTAGATCCCCCCGCGGAAAAGCATGGCGGCAAGGCAGAACTTTTGCTTCGCTACTACCCCGGTTGCTTGCTTCCTGGCGGCAACCCTGTGATGGGCCAGGCCAACTGGCTCTATAACATGGTCAGCACCGACAAGCCCCTGGAAGAGAAAATGGCCCTTTTCTGGCACCATGTGTTCGCCACCGGCAACTCCAAGCTGGACAACTGCGACCAGATGTTGACCCAGATTCAAATGTTCCGGGACTTGGGCATGGGCAACTACCAGGAACTGATCTTGGAGCTGTCTCGGAACCCTGCGATGATTTACTGGCTGGACAACAACGAGAATCATCGCGACGCCGTAAACGAAAACTGGGGTCGGGAACTGCTGGAGCTCTTCACCATGGGCGTCAGCAACTACACCGAGGTGGACGTACGGGAGGCCTCCCGGGCCTTTACCGGCTGGACCATCACCCCCAAGCTTCCCCGACAGCCCTATGGCCGCTACCCGTGGCGCTTCTCTTATCGGGAAGAGGACCACGACTTCGGCGAAAAGACCTTCCTTGGTCAGACCGGCGACTTCAACGGCGAAGACATTATTGACATCGTGGTAAAGGAGCCGGCCACCGCCCGCTTCATCTGCCGCCACCTCTATAACTTCTTCGTGGCCGACGAGCCCCAGGTTCCCGCCTGGACCATCGAGCCGGCGCGTGATGAAGAAGCCCTGGACGCGATGTGCAACGTCTTCGAAGAGTCCAACTACGAGATTCGCGAAGTCCTGCGCTTCATGCTCAAGTCCGAATTCTTTAAGGAAGCTCGCTTCTCCAAGATCAAGAGCCCTGCGGAAGTCGTAGCCGGCACCATGAAGATGGTCGGCTCCTTCCAGTTCCCGGATCCCGGTCTGGCCAAGATCTGCCGCGAGCCCGGCTACATGGGTCAGGAAATCCTGGATCCCCCCAGCGTGGAAGGCTGGCACACCGGTTCCGAGTGGATTAACAGTGGCTCCCTGCTGGCCCGCATCAACTTCGTCGCCGACAGTGTCACCAAGACTTCCATGCCCGGCATGCAGAGCATCATCGGCCACATGAAGAGCCAGAACATCAGCACTCCTGATGAGCTGCTGAATGGCTGCCTGGAAAGCATGGGCTACCTGGTACTCAGCGAAGAGACCAGGAACGAGCTCACCAACCACGCCAACGAAGGCGGAAACATGGACTGGAGCGACGAGGCCGCCGCCGCCACTCGCATCGCCGAGATGATGGCCCTGATCAGCGCCACCACCGAGTTCCAATTCGCCTAATCGGTCCTGCATTCGGGCCAACCGTATAAGACTGTTATAAGGAGGAAATAATGACTTCAACGAAGAAGGATCCGGTCATAGTCGTATTGCAGCTCACCGGCGGCAATGACTATATGAACACCGTAATTCCCTACAGCGACCCCCTCTATTACGATAACCGGCCAAACGTCGGTTACAAGATGGAAGACATCATCAAGGTTGACGACAACCTTGGTTTCATGCCCGCCATGGGTCCTATCAAGAACCTGTATGACCCAGGGCAAGGTCGCGGTCATCCACGGCATCGGTTATCCCGATTCCCCGCGCTCTCACTTCCGCTCCATGGACATCTGGCACACCTGTGAGCCGGACAAGGTTGGAACGGAAGGCTGGGCCGGCCGTCTGGCCCGGGAACTCGACCCGAACAAGGAAAACGTACTGACCGCCATTAACTTCGGTCATGGCTTGCCCCGTGCGTTGGCCGTACCCGGCGTCCCCGTCGCCGCCATCTCCGACCTGGGCACCTATGGCTTGCTAACCGGCATCAGCGACCACGACCAGCGGAGCAAGGCCCTCGACCTGTTCAGCCGCATGTACTCCCCCACCGTGGGCGGCAGCTTCGTCACCGACTACCTGCGCTCCACCGGCACGGAAGCCATGATCGGCGCCGACATCGTCAAGGTCGCTCCCGAGCGCTATAGCTCCAACGTGGAATATCCCAGTTCCCCCATCGCCCAGCACCTGCGCGACATCGCCCAGATTTACATGGCCGACCTCGGGACCCGGGTCTTCTACACGCAGCACGCCAGCTTCGACACCACGCCGGCGAATACGCTGCTCACCCCGCTCTGTGGAAGGACATCTCCGAGGGCGTCTCCGCCTTCTTCGAGGACCTGAAGGAGCACAACACCGGCGAGAACGTAATCATGTACATGTTCTCCGAGTTCGGCCGCCGCGTCCGTGACAACGGCTCCGGCACCGACCACGGCGCAGCCGGCGTTGCTTTCGCCATCGGCGACGGCGTCAAGGGCGGAATGTACGGCGAATACCCGTCCCGGGAAGCCAAGGACCTGGAACAGGGCGACCTGGTCCCCAACTATGACTTCCGCGGCTCTTACACCACCATCGTGGAAGACTGGTTCGGCATGGACGCCACCCCGTTGGTCAACGGCAACTTCGAGAAGATGGGCTACCTGAAGTAAGCGAGGTCCAGCACTCGAAACCTGGCGCTCAATCGAGTAGCCCGATTCTGAAATCGCAGTGAACCGAGATTGAGTTGAGGGCCGGGTGAACTTTCCCAACCGGGGTGGTTCCCTGGCCCTCATTACTGAAAAATAACGCCAAGAGGAGGCGAATATGGCAGAGATTACTGTAGCTGCCGGGCGAGCGTGGAGTTATAGCCACAATATCGGTCGCAACGGCGCCGCCGGCATGGGCTTCAGTCAGCCCGTCAGCATTGCCGCAGCCAAAGACGGCGTATTGTACGTAACCAACCGGGCCACGGAGCAAAATGCCGGTGGTATCCGCGTTACCAAGTTCACCGTTGACCAGGAGTACCTGGGTGAGTTCGGTCGCCAGGGCCTTGCCTACGGCGACAACGAGCCCAGCACCTTCACCTGGATCTCCGGCGTGGCCTGGACAAGGACGGCAACGTTTACGTCGCCGACGAGTGGCAGTGCCGCGTGGCCGTCTTTGACGCCGACGGTGGTCCCATCGGAGGCTGGGGTGTCAAGGGCGAAGGCGAAGGCGAACTCAGTGGACCCGCCGGTCTTGCCTTTGATGCGGATGACAACCTGTGGATTGTCAACTCCTTCAACAGCCGCATCCAGAAGTTCACCAAGGACGGGCAATTCATCAGCGGCTTTGGTTCCAAGGGCAACGCCGAAGGCCAGCTGGAAATGCCCGACGGCATAACCATCGACGACAGTGGCGATATCTACATCGCCGACTGGGGCAACAACCGCATACAGAAGTTCACCCCCGGCGGAACCCAGCTGCGCACCTTCGCTCACACCGTCAACGGTCAGGATGCTTTGAACCATCCCACCGACGTCTGCGTGGACGGCGACGGCGATGTCTATATCACCGACTGGATGAACGACCGGGTAGTTATTTACGACCCGGATGCTCGTCCCATCGCGTACCTCGAAGGGGATGCAGTAGATATCTCCAAGTGGGGACAGCAGGGCTTGGACGCCAACCCCGATATGGTCAAGGCGCGCCGCCGGGTGCCCGACATGATCGAGCAACAGCGGAAGTTCACCAAGCCGGTCGCCTGCACCTACGACCGGGAAACCAACCAGCTCTTTGTCGTTGACACCGCCCGTAACCGGGTCCAGGTGTACGAAAAGGACAAGGAGTACATGGACCCGCAGATTAACCTGTAGGCCCAGCCCAGTCACGGTAAACACAAGAGGGGCGGGATGTTTCCCGCCCCTTCTTTCTTGGCTCCTTGCCTTCTGCGGCGAACTAGCCATGACCCACCATCACCATCGAACCTGACCGTCGATCGAGATTAACCATCGTTCCTGCGCAGGCAGGAACCTCGCCCCGCAGCCGTTAGGTCCCTGTCTTTCCAGTTCTTTGCGTAACCGTCATTCCGGCGAAGGCCGGAATCTGGAATGGTGAGAGAACTGCTTGGATTGCGAAGTTTCCGGCCTCACCGTCCTGCCCTCCCGTGGGTTTTGCAAAGGCGTCCCTCCCCATGAACGACGGTTGTACTGGCCTTGATGAGACAAAGGCGAACTTTAGCCTACCTGCTCCGGTCGATAATCGCGCGGCGGTGCGTACCTTCCCCTATCTTGCGCTCGCCGTCGTAAGCCTCCACCTGGAAATTCAGCCGGTTGCGGCTCACTTCCAGCAATTCCGCGTGGGCGATGACCGTGGCGCCAATGTCCGAGGGGGCCAGGTGCCGCACGTTCACCTCAAACCCCACCGAGGTCTGCCCCTCATCCAGGTATGGGTCAATGGCCTCGATAGCTGCCCGTTCCATCAGGCTGATCATGGAAGGAGTGCTGAACTTGTCCACGTGGCCCGCCACGTTATGCTCACAAACCAGGGTCTGCCGCTGTCCCTTCAGTCCCGGGACAATCTTCTCGCTAACCATATTGAGGTCGCCTCCTCAGTTGCGTGGACTCGAATACGGTTAACAAGGATAAACAGCCTGGAGCGAAATTACAAACACCGGACATCTCTTCTATCGCTTCCCTCACCCCTGCCCTCTCACTAGGTACAGGAAGGACGGTCACCTCTCTACCACTCGGATAGGGGGCAAGGAGACGAGAACCAAGTCGCGCCTTGAACCTTCCTGTCTATATGATATATGATTGCGCCGCCGGAGTGCCAGAGCGAAGAAAGAATGTCAAGCAAGAAAAACGCCAAATAATCGCAGCCTGTTGTCGGTTACCGACATCAACCCCGAAGAAACCGGGGCCCTGATTCGACGGGCCCTGGAAATGAAGGGGCAGGACCGCGGCGGTTCCGCCAATGCTTTGCAGGGCAAAAGCGTGGCCCTGCTGTTCGAGAAGCCCTCGCTTCGCACCAAGGTCAGCTTCATGGTAGGCATCCAGGAACTGGGCGGCTATTCCCTGTACCTGGGCCCCGAGGAAGTGGGCCTCGGCTCTCGGGAACCGGTCTCCGATGTAGCCCGCGTCCTGTCCGGTTACGTGGACTGCATCGTGGCGCGGGTCAACTCGCACCGCAGCCTGGAGGAACTGGTCGAGTACGGCACCGTGCCAGTCATCAACGCCCTGTCCGACTGGGAGCACCCCTGCCAGACCATGGCAGACCTGCTGACGATCGCGGAGCACCAGGGAGACTTGCCGGGTCGCAAGCTGGCCTACATCGGCGACGGCAATAACGTAGCCCGCAGCCTGTGCCTGGCCCTGCCCGCCGTAGGCATGGCTTTTGCCATCGCCTCGCCCATCGGCTACACCCTTGAAGAGGCCTGCCCTGCAAAGGGCCAAAGACATCGGCGGCGGCAAGAGCGAAATAATGTCTGTGCGCGAACCGGCCGAAGCGGTAAGCAATGCCGACATAGTCTATACCGACGTGTGGACCAGCATGGGAGATGAGGCGGAACGCGGGGCCAGGTTGGAAGCCTTCCAGGGCTACACGGTAGACCCGGACTTGTTGCGCAAGGCCAAGCCCACCGCCAAATTCATGCACGATATGCCGGCCCATTACGGGGAAGAAGTCCCGCCTGGCATGCTGGAACACCCCCAGTCCATTGCCTACACCCAGGCCCACAACCGCAAACACGCCCAGAAAGCGGTTCTGGAATTCTTGCTGGGAAGTTAATCCACGGAAACAAGGGCTTGCACTTGGCAAGTTTCTTCTCTATTCGCGGACAAACTGAAGGAAAATCAAAGTCATGGTACAAGAAACTAATTTGGAAAATGACATGAGCGGGGAAGTGGAACGCCCGCTGCCCATTGTGGCGGTGGTTGGTCGGCCCAACGTGGGCAAGTCTTCCCTCTTCAACCGCATCCTTGCCCGCCGCCAGGCCATCGTGTCCAACGTGGCCGGAACCACCCGCGACCGCTTGATGTCCGAGGCGGAGTGGGAGGATTGCCGCTTCATTCTGGTGGACACCGGCGGCCTGGAGTCAGACCCCGAGGGCCACATTCGAGAGATGGTGCAGGAACAGGCCGATATGGCCATGTCCGGCGCCGACGTCATCGTCTTTGTCACCGACGCGGTCGACGGCGTGACGGCCACCGACCAGGAAATTGCCGACCGTCTCCGTCGCGCCAGGAAACCTGTCATCATGGCCGTCAACAAGGTCGACAACGACGGGCGTGAGGTAGCCGCATCGGAGTTCTACCAGATTGGTATGGCAACGATAATGATCAGCGCCTACCATAACTACGGTATCTACGACCTGATGGACCGGGTCATATTCCACCTGCCCGTTCCTCCTTACGTGCCCCCGGTCGTGGAGGAGGATGACTGGGGCGAGGGCTCCGAGAACGAGCCGGAGACGGAGCTGGAAAGGCAGATCTCATCTATGTCCAAGGAGATGCGGCTGGCCATCGTGGGACGCACCAACGTGGGCAAATCGATGCTGCTGAATGCCGTCCTGGGGGAGGATCGGGCCATTGTCAGCAACGTGGCCGGCACCACCCGCGATGCTCTCGATACCCAGATGAACTACCGGGACCGGCCTATCACACTGATAGATACCGCTGGCATCCGGCGGCCCGGGCAAGTGCAGCCCGGCATCGAGAAGTACAGCGTGATGCGCTCCGTGGCCGCGGTTAACCGCAGCGATATCACCCTCTTGGTCACCGACGCCACGGAACTGGCTACCGCCCAGGACGCCCACATATCCGGCCTGGCTTGGGAAATGTGCCGGGGCATCATCGTAGTCATAAACAAGTGGGACATGATAAACGAATCTGACCGCTTCGCCCGTGAAGAGGCCATAGCCAAGGTTCAGGACCGGCTTCACTTCATGCCCTACGTGCCAATCTGCTTCACCTCGGCCCTTAACCGGCAGGGCATCACCACCGTAATGAACACCGCTTTTGAGCTTTGGGAAGAGCGGATGCGCTGGATTCCGGGGCGGGACTTGCAATACCTGCTGGCCGACGCGTTAACCGATCACAACCCGCCGCCGGTCAAGGCCAAGGGAGTTCGCCGGGGAGAGTTCCTGCGCATCAACCGGGTCAACCAAGTGGGTGTGAACCCCCCCACATTTCTTTTTACCTGCAACAACCCCAGGCTGGTGCATTTCACCTACCAGCGTTACCTGGAGAACCGGATTCGCGATAAGTTCCGCTTCGACCACACGCACCTGAAGCTGGTGTTTCGCAACCGATGAAAGGGAACCTGACGCCCTCGGTCCTCAGCTCATTGATTGCCGTACCGGTACTGATAATAGCGTCGGCCGGGTTGCTGCTTTTCCTTGCCGAGGCCCAGACCGCCTACAAGTATGCCGTCGTCCTGCTTCTGGCCTACTTGATGGGCGCCCTCCCCTGGGGATACGTCGTCCTGTTTCTGCGCCGGGGCATAGACATCCGCGAGTACGGCAGCGGTCGCACCGGCATGTCCAACGCCCTCCGCACCGCCGGCATGAAGCTGGCGGGCGTTGTCCTGCTACTGGACTTGGTTAAGGGCATGGGAGCCGTATTTCTGGCCCGGGCCCTTATCGGCGACCCCACCTCCGAGGTGGCGGCCGGCCTCATGGCCCTGGTAGGCCACAACTGGCCGGTGTTCCTTAGCTTCCGGGGCGGACGCGGCATTGCGCCGGGGTTGGGCAGCCTGGCCGTGATGTCGCCGCTGTCCGCCATCTGCGGTGTTGTCGTCTTCCTGCCCATCTGCCTTATCACTCGCTACCTGTCCCTGGGCTCCATCCTGGGAGTCCTTTCGGCCTGCGTCGTACTGGTGGCCCTGATACTGCTGGAGTTTAATCTTTGGGGTTTCAGTTCCAACCTGTACCTCATTTACGCCCTTCTCGGAGGAGGGGTTATCATCTGGCAGCACAAGGACAACATCCAGCGACTGCTAAACGGCACCGAGCGGCGCATCGGCAATCCGGCAGCCCGGATTGAGTAGCAAGTAATTATCTCAAAACGCGCTCTGATCGGCCTGCCTTGAGCGGGGTCGACTACGGAGAACGCTCATCTTCAGCCCGTTGAGGGATGTCCCCAGAGGGATGAAGGTGGACTCAATAACAAAACCTGTAGGGGCTTCCCTTGTGGATGCCCTGGCCTCTCGCTCCCTGTCCCCCTTGCCTGATTGCTTGAATTGCAGCACTACTCCTTTTGGCGCCCCTTCGGCATATTGCCTCCCCCTGTGCTAATATTTAACTGATCCCACCGGCCCTTCAACTCGCCGGACCGGTTGCCCGAAACCGCCAGCGTGCTCATTAAGCATCTCATAACCAGGCACGGACAACCTCTTGACCGAAACTGTCGCCATAGTCGGGACCACCACCTGGGGCACCACCCTGGGCGCTATCCTCGCGCGCAATGACGTCCCCACGACGATTCTGGCGAGGACTGCGGCAGAAGCGGACCTCCTCAATTCCCATCGCGAAAATCGCCGTTTCCTGCCTGGCATATCCTTCCCCAAAACACTGACCGTGAGCAGTGAACCGTCACAGGTGGTGGGAGACGCAGACCTGGTGATCCTGGTCGTTCCTTCCGAGCATTTCCGCCAGAACGTCCGCTGGATTGCCAGCGCCCTCTCTCCCGATGCTACCGTGGTCAGCGCCTCCAAGGGCCTCGAGTTGCCTGACGCCAACCGGATGAGCCAAATCCTGGAAGAGGAACTCCCGCCATCGATGCACGAAGGCATCTGTGTCATTTCCGGTCCCAACCTGGCCCGGGAGATTGCCGAAGAGAAACCAGCCGCCACGGTGGTCGCCGGCAGGAACGATGACCGGACCGCCCTGGTTCAGGAACTGCTGATGTCACCCACCTTCCGGGTGTACACCAGCGACGACGTGATTGGCGTGGAACTGGGCGGCACCCTCAAAAACATTATTGCCCTGGGCGCCGGTATCGCCGACGGCCTGGCCATGGGGCAAAAAAGCAAACGTCTACCCTGATTACCCGGGGTCTGGCGGAGATGGCCCGCCTGGGTACCGCCGCCGGCGCCCAGTACCTCACCTTTGCCGGCCTGGCTGGGCTGGGAGACCTGGTCGCCACCTGCTACAGCCCGCTGAGCCGCAACCGGTCTGCGGGAGAACAACTGGCCCAGGGTCGGACCTGGCCGGAGATTCGGGACGGGATGCAGAACGTGGTTGAGGGGGTCAATGCCACTGGTGCCGCCCTCGCCATGGCGGCCCGGCTGAAAGTGGAAATGCCCATCGCCGAAGTAACCTATCGCATCCTCTTTGAGGATCTCCCCCCCAGGGAAGCCGTCGCCGAGCTGATGGGAAGGCCACCCAACGCCGAATGGTAGCTGGCCAAGACGGAGGTGACGCCTAACCCCCCTTGACGAGGGAAGATGGCTTTGTTCCTAAGGCCTTAGTCGTACCAAAAGGCCGTGAGTTGTCCCAAGAGTAAACCCTCACCTGCTGTAGGTGAGGGTTTAGTTTGGGAGTGTAGTTGGAGTTATCTAGCTGTTAATCAGATGAGGGTGCTGGGTGAGCACGAACAAAGAACTGACCACACAAGTAGCAAACCAATCCCATCCAATCGCTATGGTGTTTACCATCACGGCAAGTGCTAATCGTTCCCGCCTCGCTCCACAACGCCTCCATGTCATCAGCAAATATACTGGCTTCTTCATAGGATATAGCCCAAGGAGCTACAAATGGAGATGACGGGTCATCTACGATTAACAGATTTCCGAACGCAGGCGCGGCATTGACACCACCTAAACTAAAGCCAAGGTGGGATGTACATTTAAGTGGCGATGATGGTCACTGGTTGCGCGGGTAAATCCGCTCCAATCCGTACTTGAGAATGACCCGGCTCTGTCGTTTGACCCCCGCCATCTGCGCATTTCAGCACCTTGGCTTTAGTTAGTTTGTGGCGAATATATGAGAGCAGTTCTATACAGCACTCTTTACAGTTCGCCATACCCAGAAACTCATTCCTTCGCTCGTTCCCCATACAGCGTTCCAACACTACGAACTGGTAGGCACCAGATGGTTTGCGGTTGTCGGAATATTCGGCCACACAAGCACCACTGATTCTGAACGAAAATAAGGCGTCGGGATCATTAGAATCGTCCAAGTCCCCTGTGTAATCAATCGCTATGTGAGTCTTCCCATCCCAATCTTCGGGCATGTCTCTACTTTCCCGACGCGTGACTCTGAAGAAAACGTCGCTTTCCTCACCTGTGAGGTGGGCTAAGGCTGACTGTATTTCAAACTGTTGTTGGAAATGCCTTCTCATGTTTTGCGGGTCGAATGCTCGGTCTAGGCCGTCGTTATCGTTATCATTCGGGTGGTCGGACAACTTATTGAATCCTCCTGAAGCGTGTCTCGGCCATTCTACTTTCGCCTGAACTTGTAAGGCCGGTCCCAATTAGCACTCTTGCACTTGGGGCAGGTCCTGGGCCACTGGGGATTACGCAGGCTCCTGGGGGCCCATTCATGCCCACACCCGTAGCTGTTGACCACAGCAATAAACTTCTTCTATTCTACTCGATCGCAGTTAGGTCGGGGAAGTGCCAAAGCCTCGGCTACGGCTGTACCAAAAGTCCGATGGCTGTACCAAAAGTCAACTGAAATCGGGACTTTTGGAACAAAACCGGGGAAGGCTAGGATGGGGGTGACGGGTAGCCCAATATCACTGCCTCCCCCAACTGCGAGCCTCGTCAGCGGCTTTGAGACAGTTTCTACTTTCTTACCGGCAGAGCGAACATTCCTGTCCAGTCATGGACTGTAGGGTGCTAGTAGCCGGTGGCCAGGGAAATCAGCGTCCGCACTACCGGCCCCATGATTGTCCACAGAATACCCCAGCCAAGCATGTAGTCCGCCAGAATAATGCCCAGAAGAAGCAGGGGGCCGAAACGCTCAAATTTGGCGTAGCTCGCCGCCATACTGTCCGGCAGCAGCCCTCCCAACACCCGGGAGCCGTCCAGGGGAGACAGGGGTATCAGGTTGAAGATCGCCAGCAGCACGTTGAAGAAAATGACCATGCCCGCGATGTCGGTCAGGCCCTCTCGCAGGCCGCCGGTAAGCACCACATTGGCGCGGCCCAGGGTAGCGCCGCTCCAGCCCAGCAGGCCTATCTTGATCGGGATGGCGACGAGGAAGGCCAGGGCCAGGTTCGACAGCGGCCCGGCGGCAGCCACCAGCGTGATACCCACCGGCCCCCGCAGGTTGTGATGGTTTACCGGCACCGGCTTCCCCCACCCGAAGCCCACCACCAGCATCATCACGGTGCCGCTGGGGTCCAGGTGACGGATGGGATTGAGGCTAAGCCGGCCCAGGTGGCGGGAGGTCGCGTCGCCCAGGACCGTGGCTAACAGAGAATGGCTGAATTCGTGGACGGTGATGGCCGTTAGCAGGGCAAACATGACCAGAACGGTCAGGCGCACGAAGCTGGCGGGGTCGTACAGGAGCAGATCGAAAGAGCTGAACAGCATATGGTTCTATTTTATAGTGTTGAAGGGGAAAAACGGAATACTAACGATGGATTATGTAGCGCGAGTCTACTGGCCCCGTTGGCTGGCATGTTCTGTGTTTCCCTTTCATCCTGGTTTTATAAACTATCTCAAGAGCGGCGGTGAAATTCGCGGGATTGAATTAATCTGCACTTCACCCCCATCCCAGCCTTCCTCGGCTTTGCTCCAATAATACCTGATTTACCCGATTAAAGGAGCAACAAACAGAATTTAGGAGCAAAAAAACTGGCCCACTGATTCACAAGTCGGCGGGCCGCAATAGCAATCCGTGTCAGTGAATCGTGGTGATGAATGTGTCGGTGCATCCATAACTTCCCCTCACTCCACCTGTCTGCTGACTACATCCCCCGTCGTGGACGTTCACCCGGAAACAGAAACGCTAGGTACAACAGAGAGCCACCCAAAAGGGTTATGCCAGCCAAAGACAAAAACTGCAAAGTATATGACTCTATTAATCCGCTCAAGCCTATGATAGCCATACCAAGTAAGCCCATGCAGATAAGCGCAATCCCGACACTTCCAAGTCCATTCATACGCGGTTCCTTCCTCGTTGGCGATGTTGGGATGCCCCCGGTGGTGAGACACCGGGGGTCAGCTTTTGTAAAGCTTGGGCGTATTATACCCGAGGCGTTCACGCAAAGTCCTGGTCACTGAGCAAAAGAGCGCACACTAAAAGAAAACGGGGCCGGACATTCATCCGGCCCCTTCCCTTATTGATTTCCTTGAATGGTTTGGCGTTTTATGCGGCCAGCATCAACACTTCCCTTTCCACACCGCCAAAAGTGAGGTTAATCCCCAGCGTGTACATCATCCGTACCAGCACGACGATGTTGTGGCAGAGTATCTTGGCCAAGACCTCGTTGACCTGTGCCGTCTCCGTCTTCGACCGTACCGACTGCCCAAACTTCGCCTTGATCATAGCGAAGCACGTTTCAACGTTTGACCGCTGGTGATAGTGAGCCAAGAATTCTTCCCTGCGCAGGTGGAAGTAGTGGTACATCTTCTCCCACAGAATGGCTAGGGAATCCTTTTTGTGGTGGCTTGAATGGGCTACGGAGTCTTTCTTGAACGGGATGTAGGGCGTACCGCCTGCATCCACTATCGCCTGAAAGTTTCTTCTGCTCAGGTACGCCTTGTCAGCCGAAAAGTCTCGAATAGTGAAACTGCGGGCCGTAGTTTCCACTAGCGAAGGTAGATGCACCGTATCGTTGCTTCTGTCCGCCTTTACTATGGCGGCGGTGATGATGTTGCTTTTCACCCCGCAGACGATGTGGGCCGTAATCCATTTTGACTGCTTATGTGGAGCGGCCCGCTTGCTTTCCTTACCCCATTTGTGGTCAAAGTGGCGGTCGTAGACGTTGGTGCTAAACCCGCTTGAGTCCGCCGCATAGTCTTCTTCCAAGTCTCTCAGGGGCAGTGCGCTTTGCTCAATCAGCGACTTTAGTATTGGGGTCAATTCGGCCTTTTCCAGGTAGCGGAACATACTGGTGCAAGAAGGCGTCTTGTCCAACTGTCCATTGTCGGTTGCGTTCCGCATATCCGTCATAGACCGGCGCACCGACATAGTAGAGAAGACCTTGGTGGTAACGGCGAAGACCATATCGGACAAGGGCATTCGTGGACGGCCCCGCCCCTGTGGTAGCTGCTCAATGGTATCGCATAACTCCCGCAGCAACCTGCCGAACACTTCCTGTTCGTTGACCTGAGCTGCATTGTAGGCCGCCCAGTTCTGCCCGTAGGAAACCCGAGAGGATTGAGTTTCAACTCTTGAACCGTCGTCCTGTTCTTCGCGCTGGACAATGAACCCGACGGCATAGATGTGTTTACAGGGTTGTTGGTGCTTCTCGAAGTCCTGACATGTACAGAACGGGGTCCCTTCAAGGTTGACGACATATGAGCCGTTGCCAGTCTGGGAAGGAACCTTGTATCCAATTCGTGTGGTTTCTATGTGGGATTGAAGGGCGATTTCCTGCCCTCGCAAGCGCAATGCGTGGTCTCGATTGGATTGACCTGGCCTCGGCGCAGGTGTAACATTGATATGGGATTGTGGGTTCATCTCGTTCCTCCAGTCTCTGCTCCCTCTCTTTGCACGGCGGGGGAGCTTTTAGTTTAAGAAACTAATTCCTTCTCATTCTTTAACACTGATAACACTGGGTTGTCTTGCTCAGTTGGCGTTGGGGTCTCGGGATACAGGAATTCTATTGTCGCCTCAACTGCATTGAGCCATTGCTGGCGGCTAAGAAGGGGAAAGGGTTCTCCTGCAGGTGGTAGGCTCCTAATTAAGCTTTCCAATACAGGATGAATTGGCTCTACGGGGCGCAAGCCGGTCTTAACTCGCCTAGATGGACCGCCGTTCTTGCTCTTTCGACACGAGCAGGATTGCGGTGTTTTGAAAATAGAAGGTCGCGCTATGGTTGCTCGACTTTTACGTTGTCGAGGAACATCTTGTGTAGCGATTCTGGCTTCTCGGCACATGCCTAGGAAGAAAATCACCATTCTCTCCCTCTGCGACGCCGGAATGTAATGCCTAAAGAAATTGACGATCTTAGATTGACTATCTACCTTAGGATCAATTTTCCCAAACACCTCCCTGTAAGCATGTCTAATCAATCCACTTAATATTTCTACATATTCTTCATCCGTGCTAGAGGCTATTGAACGTAACGCCTCTGTCGGTTCCCCTGCCTCATCGATCAACCCCAGGAACCTAAGTGAAAATAACGTACGAGTTATAGTTCCATCAGGGATACTAGTATTTTTCAGATACTCGCTGTTCACGCTCTCGGGCAAGTTCCGATTGCGCAACCGTTGTATTACCGCAA